TTCGTTTATATATCTATGCATATCCTACTTCCTAATTACCGATGGCATGATAAAATGTTTTGTTGATATATGGCATGTTACCAAAGAGACTATTGCTATCTCGTGGAATTGTGACTGCTGCATCAACTTCACGTTCTTCTCGAGGCGTTCACTTTGAACCAGGTTCTGGATTAACTTAAGGTCGATAGCCAAAACATAATTTGGTATTCGATAGAAATTGCTTCCACGGTGCCAGTATAATAAGTGTATCATTTTGTGATTTGGAAATTGGAAATAATATGGTTAATTAAGTCACATGCGTTTAGTGCCAGTTATTTGCTTATCATTAGCATGTGGTATTTCACCATAATATTATATTTATTTAGTTATCACATACACAACGCGTGTACCTCCACATTGTGACGTAATACATGCCATACCAAAAATGCATATTACGATGTTTTGACGTCACCTACTGCCGAATTGCTTTTCATTGTACACGCTGCTTGAAGGTTGCCCGAAGTTTTCGGGTTTATATACGGTCTGATAAGTACGGATTGTGGTAAAAATGGTTTATTCATTTCAGCAAACTTATGTGTGTATTTTATGAATTATTATTCAGTTCCTTGAAAACAATCTGTTGAAATTTAGAAGAAATAAAATCATAGGTAACTGGAGCAAATATAACGAACGTGCAAAATCATCACACTTTGTAGACAAGGTGTCAACAACAAAATTAGCATACGAGACACACCCAATGACATATTTGTATTCGGTGATATTTTTATAATAGTTCCACTTTCAATAACGGTTGATCAAGGAAAATCTTCGACCAAAGGTCGCAGCTGATTTGACACCAGTGTGCCCTCTGTGCCAGATACACCCTTAAACCAATCTGTTTAACGAATTTTGATTTCCAAAATATGAACACAAATATTGCCCTATTTTTAGATTAGAAATTTCTAAAACTACGTTAGGTCAAATTCAATCCCCGTCGCAGATAAAACAGCTAAAGCCATAGTTTTCGATATTTTTGACTGGAAAATGTTCATCAAATATATCCTCCCATAAATATGCTTTTGGGGTCATTTTGAGTCAGAAAGTGAGTTTTTTAACGCACATTTCTTTATTTGGAATATACATAATTTCTATGCTCCTTATTGGAGTTCGATTTTCTACCATAGATTCGAGTGCAATAAAAATATTATATGTTCATGTAAAAAACTAAACAGTTTGACAAATTAAACATCATTATGCTTAAGAACGTTTTCCAATTATATTTGAAAAAAATCACTGATGCTGCGGACTTATATGGGGCAAGTTATTCCAAATTTCACTGCCACTGTATTTAAAACATCGTATAAACATTGACATCCTGTGCCTAGATATGACCAAGTAGTAGCTAAGATTTAGCTAAGCTAGACTGAACTTTTTAAAAATAATTCTTTTTTCAAAAGGCAACCACAATAAAATTTGAGAAACCTCTCCTATATTTTAAAAAAATACTTAGCATAAGGTAAGATGACATTGAGGGCTCCTTTTCAAATTAAGGGCCGCTATGATCCTGTTGAATTTGGTTTCATTTTTTTCCTTTCTTTTAATCAATTTTTCACTTAATTTTTCACTACGCTTTTTACCTCGGGTTAATTGTTGTTTAAGTATTCCCTAACAGGTTTGATGTTTCCCTGGGTTCCCACTCAACTGATTGATACACAACTTTAGCGGTAATCACTTGTGTATTCTGACATCAACCGAAGAGAAAATTCATGGTAATTCATGGTATAAAAGTCTTTTCCCCTTGATGATTTCCAGCCTAGTTTAATCACTCAGTACAGCTGTGACAAATATTCGGATGTAATGAAATCCTCGTTGATGTTATATATTGCTTAGGTAGCGTCCCAAATGAAATAAACTTCTTTAGGAATCGAAACTTGTTTACATTGTCTTGGTAAGCTAGTGTTCATGTTGATGGTCGATAATCCCGGGTGATCCAATAATGTAATGCGACCTGTCACAGCCTGTGACCTGTCGATTAACAACATTTTTCCTGCTGTCTCTCGAACTATGTAGTCTCTTAGGTCCTGTTGATTCTCGACTACAACGATCGGTTGGCTCTCTACCATCCGACTGTGAATACAAACAGCTCTTTATTGTCTTCTTGTGAAGTGTATCACAATGCATATTCACATTAGCTTTTGCACAATAAATATATACAAATTTATAAATATATATAAAAATAAAAATTAAATTATATTTTTGACAGGGCAAACGCACAAGAACAGTACGGATTTCAATACGGAACTATACAATTTGTAAATTGTCTTCGTAATTAAGTATATATGTTTTTCGCCTGATGTAGTTAGTGTGTGGGTTTTTTTAAAAAAAACGACGTCAAGGTTTGTTTATGTGGTGTAAGGTTCACTAACAATATTGCCAGAAATATCGAGTACTTTACAGTCAAATTACCATTCATTACTTTTCATTATTAAATTTACTGTCTTGCAGTGCATCTGAAATATGTATTTGAGTTTATTAGGTTTGTTATATTTATTGTAGCAATTCGACATTTTAACAGTGTAAGCCCAGACTGTTTACGTACCTACTTACGAACCTGCATCCATACTTTAATTGTGTTCCAGATCTCAAGTTGAGAATGCAAGCAAACTGCCAAGTGTTTTACTCTTACGGTATATTACTAAATGACGGCGATTATGACACTGGAATTGATGATGATGATTCATATTATGATTATTATGAGGAAAACATGCAATCAACCTACAATCCATGTTCTGATGACTGCAGTAAGTTTGTTATACTCTATTGTAATAATACAAAGAATGCGTCAAGCTGTATGTAGCATGAATTGCAATATTTGAACAAGGAAAATGAATGCGTCGTCTGATTATATAATAAGTTTTTATATAATATGTGTTACAATTGTTTCTAGTACAATACCAGATTAAACTGATGATCATAAAGTAATGCTTTAATAGTTCACCCTCCCTAGCCATGTAGTCTGTATTCACAATTACACAATTGCTATAATATTTACTTATTTCCTTTTTATTTACTTTTAGATAAATTTTATCCCTATGGTTCAGTGTTTAATGATAATGCAAACCACATTAATGACGATAGAAGCTCCGGGGAAATTAACCTTAATCATGCGTTCCCGTTTTTCGGTATCAGTCATTGCTCATTATGGGTAAGAACATCCGTTTATTAGATTATAATGTTTACTGAATTGTTATGGTTATATTGTTAATTCCATATATATTTTGAACAACAAAACAACTTTGTAAGACCAAATCGTTTACATTGTATTACTAGTGTTTGTACATGGTTTGCTTTATCTGTAACTAACCACCTACCATGTTTGTTGTAGGTAAACACAAACGGAGTGATCTCATTTGTGAAAGAAATTCGGCAATATACTCCAATAGAATTTCCCCTTGGCAATGAATGGAAAATGATTGCACCCTTTTGGGCAGATGTTGACACAAGGAATGGTGGAAACGTGTATTGGAGGGAAACGACAGATCCCAAAATTGTTGCACGTGCCATCAAAGATATCAACACGTACACAGGGGATTTGTTAGATGTGGTATGGGTATTCATAGCTACTTGGGACAACACTGCTTTCTTTGGCGCCCACTCAGACGCTAGTAGAGAACTGGTGAGATAATTGAACGTGCAGTTACATCGTAAACTAACTGTTCACAATAATTGCATGCAGAATACAGATGTGACCGTAATAATACTATGCAGAATACCAATGAATAAATATGTATATACGAAAGTCAGTATGTAGCTAGAAACCATCCAAACGGAAGTCACAATAATGTGAACAACTGTTCAACACATACAAATGGCGTGATTTAATATGTCATGAACCCTTAATCCATAAAACTGGTATTGTGTAGCACCTGCGATAATAACTGTTTTTTTCCCATGAAACAGAGAAATACATTTCAAGCAGTGCTGATATCGGATGGCCAGAAATCGTTTGCAATATATAATTATTGTGACATTGAATGGACAACAGGAACAGCAAGTAATGGTGATACCCAAGGCGTCGGCGGAACACCTGCTCAAGTAAGTGTTCTTGCGACTCAATTTTCATACATTCAAATACACAACAATATTACTCACATGAAAATCCACTGTCACATAATTAAGCGAGTTTAATAAGCTTATTTCTTATTGACACTATTTAAATTGCTTCTTAATCTCAGGTCGGATTTAACGCAGGCGACGGTGCGACGTTCTTTACAGTGCCATCTTCGTTTCAGCCAGAAGTGATTGACATCGAAGAAACCACGAATGTTGGTGTTCCTGGTCGATATGTATTTCAATTAAACGATGAAAATATTATTGAGGCGTGTTCGTGTATAGGTAGGTCCATCGGTTCCTTAATATATATTGGAGAGTTGGGCCAGGGAACCTTGAAAACGAATGTTATTTTCTCACCCAAATATTACAGGGTATTACTAATTTACTCCCAATGTTTCCAATAACTAAACGTATGAGTGCACAATTTTTATTTTAACCGTATTCATAAAAAGTGACCAGCTTAATATGCGTGTGGCGTTCGAGTCTAATAACTAACACCGTCAATGCTCCTAATTGGACTTACCTCATTCATAGGCTTGTTTGTTCTCACGTGCTCCAAATGAATAGTACAACTTTCGCTTCACATAAACCCAGATAACGCCGCAAAAACACGAAAAACTTGCCAAATTCGTACTCCTATGCAGCCGCTGTCGTTAATATACACACTACTTTGGGGCCTTGATCAGGTTTCTGTCCTCTGCTATTCCAGTTAGACGTTAATCGAGTAAAGCTTCTTAGTCATACTCTCAGGTATACATTGGTTAATGTTATATTTCCAGGACCTAACTGCGTGGTTGTAGGTTGTAATCGTTATGAAATTCACACAACCGAAATAAAGTGGGCCGCAGCTAAGACCAAATGTGAGATGGATGGAGGAAGACTTGCAACACTCAATACTCACCATATTTACAAGACGGTCAGACAATACATATTAACAAATGCTCTTGACGAAGAAGTTAACAAAGGTTTCTGGATTGGGCTCAATGATCGCGACAGTGAGGGTAATTTTGTTTGGTCAGACGGTTCAGCGTTGGAACCAGGAGACTTCACTAGGTGGGCTGCTGATCAACCAAACGATAACCACCAAGGAGATCCAATCAATGGACAGGACTGTGTGCAATTATGGTGAGTATTTGAATATATAATACAGTAAAGCAATGCATTAGTTAATTCATAGTTATGAACGTTATATTATCCATGTCTCTCATGCTTCTATTGTGTTATTTCGTTCACTCAGGGCAGAGAGAGCATTAAAATGGGATGATGATTACTGCGGTGATAACCCTGAAGGAGAGAAACGGAAAAAGGGATACATCTGTGGTAAGCATTGTAATTATCCTTGTACATACACAGTTGATAATGTTCAACTTATTGCGGTTAAATTATAGAGATTGAGAGTGAATAATTGACTCATTCTCACCTCAGCAACAAACAAAAATACATCTTCATATTAGGGGTAAGGTAAAATTACAAAGTTACAAAGTCGACACTGAAACAGTGACCAACTCATGTGACAGCCAATAATTGTATTCTGATACTAGAAAGGTACACTTGCTACACCTGTTATAATATGTATCTACTGTAAGTGAGACTGAAGAATATAGTGAAATTTAGATAATGACAATGTTACATTCCAACTTTTAGGTGTAGCATAGGTCAAATAATACAGTCGACGAATCGCGGTCGTCATAGCATAACGTTTATGAAACATTAATCCTTCACGTGTTTTCACTTTAATTTTGCAGAAATTCCATGTTAATGAAGAGCACCATGAGGCAATGAGCCATGACCTAGAACGCATGACATATCATAAGACATCTTTAAACATAAAGATTCTAAACCGACATCTAAAATCTAACATTTACTATACGTGAATTCCTGCGATATGTCAGTCAATAAATGCTATTAGATAATAAAGTAGATGTAACTACCAAACGAGTTCTTCAATTCTATAGTACTTGTGGTTTGATTGGTATCTGCAATAGAGTGCTTGCCCTCATGATAGATTTTCGATTTTGCAATATTGTATACAGGTATGAAAGGAAATCTCCATGATTAATGTATATACCATGTATGCTCGATCAACCAATACCCCATAATAAATTATGTATGCCTAGATTTGCTCAATGGCAATAATATATTAAAAAGGAAAAAGTAAAAAGCCAAAGTCTTTAATTTCACATACCTTTATATATTACTTTCCACAAACAGTTTAAATTTATATTCCAATGATATATTCACCTGAATTTTGTGGTTAAAGGGACTACATAATCTGCTTATCCTGCTTCATACTTAAATCTGTACTTTGAATGTTGAGATTTCAACACAATTATGACAAAAGGAATTATTTTCATTTTAATATCATCAATTCTCCACATATTTGCTAGCTCAATCAATGCCAGAGCATGTAGTACATTTACTACTACAATTTGAGAAGACATTATACTCTTTCGTCCTACGCTTAACAAATATTTTTGTTTAGAAGATGGCCTTAACAATCGAAAAGCTTTTTGCTGGATAATGAGCTTGCGGTAAAATACAATAACACTGTTATAAAGATTATCTTAGATAGACTCTTTCTGTAGCGTTGCATACGTGTCAGTTGTTTTGTTCTTGTGGAATGTTTTGTCAATTGCTTACAGTCATTTGTTTTGTGTGTTTGGACTTGTGAATGTCTCTCCGTGACGTTCTATTAAGATCTATAGTTGGGTATGTTATTCCATTATATTTTAATATAGACCATATTATAAAAAAAATATATATATACAAACTTGAACACATTTTGCAATAGTTATTACGTGTGGACTGGTTGTCCGAAACATGTAAACCAAGTACCATATATTATTTGAATCAGACTGAGGCTTGGGGCATTCGTTGTATAAATTGGAAGCAGATAAAAAATTCTCTTCATTGGTTCAACTTATTGGTTCAAATAATCCTGATGTAAAGAAGATCCGTGAGCATATCAAGGGATATAACCTCCAAACCCCGTTTTGACACGATGTAATAGAACTATCCTACTGTATGTCCTGCTTTTCAATGCATGTTCTCGACTAGTAATGTACTTTCTTCACAAGTTGGAAAGTTTTGATCAAGATATTGAAGTTAAAAAACAACTAGTACGATTGTTCTGCATTAGTTCCCCAGTTATATTGTCCACTCATCCAAGCAATCAACTAACAGTTTGATTCAGAAATGAAAACAGCTAATTTAAGAGGCCTTATGTTTTGTATAATAACTATCATCAACTCAGACCTGCATTTATAGTATTCTGACTTTTAATGTCTTCCATGTTTTTCGTTCAATTTTTAAATTAGTTGTGTGTGAACGAGAATTATTTTTTTTAACTAAGTTTGTGTATTATATACAAGTTGTCGACAATCAGCGAAAATATATTTTTGACATTTTTTTAAAATAAACTTTTAAACAATTCTAATCATTACAGTCCGAATGCAATGCCATGAAATGAAAGTGACAGTTTTCTTCTTTCCACATACTGTGTGAACAACAATACATTCATGCGTTAATACAACACATGAGAGTATTTTCTCTTTTGCGCCCTCAACCCTAACAATAACTCTACTCCTACCATCCGACGCCAATTGAATTGTAAATGCCCCTTCTAGTGTGAGTGAGGGTTAGGATTAGGGGTGGGGGTTCAAAAGAGACTCTTTCCGTGCTGTGTTATGGTAGTGTTATAACGTTATATTGTCCACACAAGTTTTAGGATAACTTTTAAACATATGTCTGCAATGCAAACTTGTATAGCAAATGTGCATATTGATATCAATGCAAAATTGTTTTCCCAATCAAATCTATAGTTAATTACAGTAATGTTCTACCCATGCCTTCTTTATCCACGTTCCTTCTAATCATTCAAGCTGTGGAGTAGATACTTTAACAACTGAGCTAAGTGGGTGGTCGAGTAGAACGTGATTATACATGTCTTGTAATAGGTGTGCGGTGTACATCCGGGTCGTTTTTTAGTTGTTGATCTGTTCATTGGCCCATTGTTTATCTGCACAAAATAAGTTACATAACAAACATATGCAAAAATCACGATGGGGGTACACTAAATTCACTAAAGTCTATAACAACTAGTGAAACTCGCCGAATTCGAGGTATAACATAGTTATTCAGAGGTTTACCGATCAAACGAAATTGTTTTTTTAGTGAAAATATTATAACCTTATATCCACTTTTAGTAAACTTAGGTACAACTACTTTTTGTACCACGTAAGTGATAATAATTACAATTTTAAAATCGTCATTGCTCTTATAATTATAGCATGTGTGTTTTAAATATATGGTATGTACTACGCATGCGTGAAAAAAACCAATACACTAAAAAATAGATGACGAGTATCTAGCGACAAAAATATCATTCTGGATGTGCACGAACCATGCTTAGATCATTCGGGCCGACACAATCTAGCAAGGTGAGTGTCTAATAAAAACAGCTATTTTGTAGTGGCTGCATAGTGCCCTCTACGGCATGTTTTATATATTAATAACCCCCGGCGCAAATGAAACGCTAATTATAAGATGTTGACAAACATTATGCGTGCCGTTCTAATCGTCTGTTCATTAACCCAATGCGTTTCATGTCTTTATATAAATGAGAGTACCGCAAATGAATTGACGCATGAAAGACGTAGAAGAGAGCCAGTTGTGAGAATGTTCAGCCAGTGTTGATATCTAAATAGTTTATCGCATACTACGTATATGCTCTGATCAGGATTGGACTGGAGATTCAAGGATATAAGATCGAGCTTCTATCTATATTACTATCTTATACCATACATAAACACATATTATAAATAAGAACAAGAAACATCGTATTTGATGCTCAATGCAATTCTCAGTGAAATACAAGTCTATAAAATTCAAGGATAAATTAGCTTTTTATTTCAACTAGCATGCATGTTGTTTAATCCGTGTATAATTGTACTGCGATGACGTTTCTCATTAACAAGGAATCTCTGCAAACAAAATAAAAACAATTGAATATGCAGATGATATAACCGAGGAATATGATATACAAACAGGTAGGATGATTGGCGATCCGCTCCGCTGAAAACAAAATCGGATGTTTCCATGGTAGGTCATAAACGTGAACAAGTGATTTTGACTGAGCGGATCGCCAATAGAAAATGTATTATGGTAACCGCAGTTCTGAATTCAATGTTGAATGCAAGATACTACTAATACCGAGGAGACCATTGTTCTTATCGCCTTGATATTTTGACTGATTACTAAGGTCAACAATTATCATCTCAAAACACGTCACATGTTGGACAGTAGAATATCCAATTGTCAGTTTAGGTTCTCAAGTTAAGAATGTGATATACGTAAAGTATGTTTTACTCATAAGGTGATTGAATTCAAGTAAAACGGATAGGCCAGAATGTAAACGTTATCCCATAAATATTACTATAGCAATTGAATATACTTTACCACAGACGTATCCTTTGCTTCTGAAACAGTATTCATCATCCCATTGAAACTTTTTCTTCTTCCTGGTTACGTGTATATAATTGGAAGTATGGAGGAGAATAAAAATACAGTGTGTCACGTGTGAGTTCTACCCAATGCCTAACTGTGACACAATCAGTATCAATAGCGTTTCATAAATGAGTCGTTATGTTATATGCTTACTTACCAAAGCTGTACGCAGTCCTGGCCATTGACGTTGTCCAATTTACTGTTATTGTTTGGTTGACCGTTCGCCCACTTAGCAAAGTCTCCTTCAACCAATGTTGAACCATCCAACCAAACAAAGTCACCTTCATTGTCGCGGTCATTGAGTCCAATCCAGAAACCCTTTCTAACTTCATCGTCGAAACCATTAACCCTTATATCTTTTTTAACTGCGTTGTAAATACTCTCGGTGTTGAGAGTTGCTAGCCTCCCACCGTCTGTCTCACAGTTGGTTTTAGCAGTGGACCAATCAACCTCGTTTGTATGTACCACATATAAATTGCAAACCTGTTCGCAATTTGGTTCTGATAATGTACAGACGATGCATTATCAAATATATGCTTTTTAATGTTACTTATGTAATCAAAGATAATTGTAACTTGATATCACATCACCAGAAAAAGTTAATGGTACGGAATGTGGACACACTCAATTCGCCGCAGTTTGTTGCGTGTTCTATAGGAAATACGTATATATATTTATATAAAACCATAGAAAATATACTAGTAGTTTTAGTGCGCCATGACAAGAGATCACCAAATACAACTATAACAGCATCATCACAAAACCGTCATTTGAACATTATACTGGTATTATAATAATAGCCTAATATAATAGCCTAATAACTCAATAAAACGCGATTGATGTGAAATTTTGTAAATAAGAATTCATGGGATTCGACCAATTGAATAGGTGACTTACCTACAATAGTCTGAGCATCAACTTGGAACACGTATCGACCTTGAATATCCACATTTGTCGTCTCCTCAATATCAACGACTTCAGGTTGCATTGACAATGGCACCGAAAAAAAGTTTACACCATCGCCTACGTTAAACCCTACCTGTAGTAGACGACACAAAGAGACGTTATATGAATACGTCGTCTTGGTGATGACATGCTGCATAACAACAGAGATTTTGAAATGTAATTGAAGCAAAGTCGTAATCTCACTTGAGCAGGTGTTCCTCCAAGGCCATACTCGTCACCGCCACTCGACATACCCGTTGTCCACTCAATATTGACATAGTTAAATATAGCGAAGGACTGATGACCATTTGATGTCAATACTACTTGAAACGTGTTTCTCTGATCCACAAAGAAAACAATATAGATCAATATATAAGTTTTATAATTTATGTGAAAAGATCCAACATTAGTAATCTGTCTCTTGATTCTCTTCAAAATCCGTATATGGGGATTTGAAAACGAGGACCAAGAAATTAA